GAAGAAGAAGAAGAAGAAGAAGGAGGAGGAGGAGAAGAAGGAGAAGAAGAAGAAGAAGAAGGGGCAGAAGGAGGAGGAGGAGAGGTCATTGATTAAAGAAGAAGAAGGAGAAGAAGGAGAAGAAGGAGAAGAAGGATCAGGAGGAGGAGGAGGAGGAGGAGGAGGAGGAGGAGGAGAGGTCATTGATTAATGGTCATTGACCCATTTATAAGAACAAAAAAGGGTTGGCGAACACAACCTCGCTGAAGAAGGTCATCGAAGTTTGAATTTGGGCACAACTGCATGTGGGATTGAGTTAGGTTAAGCCAAGAGTGAATTTGGAGGCACTGATGAGTGAGACAATTGGAAGGGAGTGTTTATGGTTCATACATCGCCTTTGTTGCTCACTATGCAGAAGTATGATAATTGATTTTGAAGAGGAAAATAAGATTGTGAAAGGTATATCCTTTCCCTGCGCCAAATATGACACAACAATTTAGATTTGTCTGACTCGCAACTCCTTATTTGACACACACACAAAAAAGCAAACGAGAGGCGGGTGAGATTTTTGTTTAGGTCAGGGTAGTCTGAAAGCAGACATGACAACGGTCCGAACGCCCGCAAAACCCCTCACTTTGCCTCGGATTTGGTGGAAAAAAACACGTCTAGAGCACATCCCAACCGCTCAAAGGACTGATGCAGGATCATGTTGCATGGCAAAAGACTTCCGAATCGGTTGCGTCTGTTTAGGCCCTGTTCGGGACGAAGGAAAAATGCAGGAAACTCAAAGGAAAGTGATTCCGAAGGATTTCTTTTCTTTTTGACCGTTCGGAACAAAGGATTCTCTTCTTTCCAATCCGCCGGAAAGTTTTGATAACCTGCATTTTCACCCAATTTTTTCACACCGGCCGAGGCTGTGGAAGGGAAAAGACTACCGATCCATGCAAGCAGGGACCCACATCAGCTGTAAAAATAGTTAATCTGTACACCTTGAGGCCCACATACACAAGAAACCAAGCAAAATGGCACCCACATGTGCTGATTTCGTGGGATTTCTTCTCCTGCGTATCGAACGCCAACTCTGTAGCTTCATGTGGCATCTTCTGTTCCACTGTTTTGCACCTCTCTTCCTTCCCCTTTCCTCTGTTTTTCCCTAAACCTGTGTATTCTTATCCTCCGATCCGAACAGGGCCTTAAGGGTCGGCGTTGGAGAATGGAGATGCGTTAGAAGAGGAAAGGAGATGAATCTAGGGCCACGCCACTTTTCCCCATTCCCTGCTCCGTCCAGTTCTCCCCCCAAACAGAGCGAAAGCAGGAAAACACACAAGAAGAAAGAAGGGGAGAAAGCAGATTAGCAGAGTCAGGAAGGGGAAATGGCGGAATCCAACTCGTACGAGGAGCAGCGCCGGAGGCAGATTGAGGAGAACCGCCGGAAGCTGGAGGAGCTCCGCCTGCACCACCTCTCCGCCGCCGTCCGCGAGGCCGCCGCCAGGCCCAAGCCCAACCCCAACCCCAGGCCGGTCCGTCAGATCCTCTCCCTTCTTCTTAGTACTTGCCTCCGGTCTTCCATCTCCTTTTTCTCCCGTATATATGACTGGTCCGCTGCTTCCGTGTCGCAGAAGCCCAAGGCCCCGCCCCCCGGCGAGCTCCGGCGGTCCGGCCGCGTCGCCAGCCTCCCGGAGCAGCCCAACTACCTCGCGGGCGCAAAGCAGCGCGACTACCAGGGACTGTACGCCAATGAAGTTTGGAAAGGGGCAACCGACGAGGAGAAGGCCACCGCCTCCGCCAAGGCCGAGGATCTCCAGCGCCAGATTCACCAGATCCGCTGGCCCGCCTTCGTCAAGCCCATCACCCACGCCTGCGCCAGCAGGGCAAACTTTATGGTATTGTAGCAAGAAAACTTCCACTGAATGTGAGGCAAATGTGGTTCTTGGATCGGATGGATGTTCATTTGGTGGGTCATATGCATCGTGTTATGACAGACAATCCCGAAGCAGTTCACCGAGTACCTCCCGGCGCACGATGAGCCAGTCGTCGTGGTGGATGAGGCGGATGACGAGTCCCACATGATGTACAATGCCAGCAGACAGGGCAGACACTGCTACCTCAGCAAGGGGTGGAGAGAGTTTGCCGTCGACTATGACCTTGAAAATGGCGATTGCTTGGTTTTTCAGCTGATAGAGAGCGCAAAGTTCAAGGTGAGATTTAGCATGCCCTCGGCTCCATGGGTAAAAAACGCTCTGCTTTTACTTTTCGGAACTCCACATTCAGTAGGATTGCATATACAACTTGTTTTCCTGTGAATTTTTTGTGGAATTCCTTGTGTTCCAAATGCGGCCTTATGATTATTGAACATTCCTGAAAGTTGCTTGGTGGTCTCATACTAGTTAACGTTGTTCGTCTGTCGAAACAATGGTCTTTAAGTTTATATACATGAAAAAAATCTGTTAAGTCTACATAATAACTAGACTGTGCACTAGAGTCATTGCGTAGTATTAAACTTCAATGTTCCGTATGTCTTAGGTTTAAATTATAAAGTGGGTTATATGCCATATCCGAAATTGAGACCGGTGAGCTGTGTCTACTTATTCATAGATGAGAAACTAGGCTTGTTTGGACTGCCAATTAATTCTGCACACAGTTTGCAGGAAATTATGTTATTGCTCAGCATCCCTACTGTATATACCTTCATATTCATTCCAGCCAGATCTAAAAGAGCCTCTAGGAATCATTTCATTCATTCATAGTCTTTTAAGTGTCCTCAGTTATATCTTTTTAGATAATGGAAGGAATTCTTTTTAAGTCCTAATTGCGAGGTGGTCGTTTTATTTCACTGCCAAGTGCCATATTGTGCAACCTCATTAGTTATGTAAATGATGCAGGTCTACATTTTTAGAGCAACCCCAGACTATGAAAGCGACCAAACTTCCGAGGACTCTGAGGATGAACAGAAGTGAAGATGTGTGCTTCCAATACATTGTTCGATCGGAGCACAGGTACATTGTTCTTACCATTATTTGCCTAGGTCGAATACTTGAATCCAATATTTCTTTATCTTTTGCCAAAGCTCCGATTTGAGAATTTGCCAAGCTCAGTTTGCGGATAAAAAAATACAAACCCGCTTGCTTATGAGTTATGACCAAACATAACTGTGTTTCCAGCACTGGAGTTAGATCTCATTTCCCTATTGGTTTGAGATTTTGATTATGGCAATCTTATTTTGTTACTTATGCTAGCTATGAAAATACATGGGGAGCTACAGTTTATTCATGAAGTCTGGGACTGTTGCCAAATGCCCAAACTTAATCGATCGACATCAGAGATGTACTCGTAGAAACCGTCAGGATAGTTTTCCTTGTTGTCTTAAATCTTCTCCTTTCGCAAGGGTTCTGTTTGTCTTTATGTCAGTCAGCCCCCTAAGACTCGATCAGCAGTCTGAAGTATACTAAATAAAATGCTCCTGTATACAGTTCTGATTTATCCATATAGATGCTGACATGTCAAATATGTTTGTTTCTTTTGCAGTTTGTTAGAGAAGCAATTTCTTCGATGATGCTGGAGACTCGGCTAATGCAGTTTCGTGCTGGTTGCATGTAGAATCATCGCACTCTCGGTCTCAGTGTAGCAGGATTTTTAACCTAGATAGGAGTAGTAGGTAGCAGATCGTGGTGCAGACCTTGTATGGGTTGAACAATGAACTAATGCATCTAGCCTGATGATGACGGACTCGAGTGCATTTTTCGTGACCGTTCCTGTTTGTTTAAGGTGCCTTTGTCTCTGTCACAGATGGGATGGGTTTTCTCTTCCCGGGTGGGTGCTGAACAGGTAAAATCATCATATTTTAAAGTTTTAAATAAATCTGAAACAAAACATACACATATATATGGATGTATATTACATGTCTGTAAGTTTTCATGATGAGATAAGTTACGATGTAATAAGCTACAAAAAAAATCATGAACTTCCATAGTGAATTGTGTGCTGGCTAGATATACATGATTTTTCATCATGAAACTGCACATACATGTAGTGTACATCCCTACGTATATGTGTATTTGTTTTCACAATTTGAAACTTCAAAGTTTTTTCTTGAAAAAAAATCTTTTGAAATTTCCGAAAATCGGGCTCCTTGGAGCCTTAGATCCAGAAGCAATTTCCTTTTTTACAGAAAGGAAAAATGTGAGTTTAAGGGTATGAGTTCGTTGGTGGGTTAGAGGATTGAGAAGTTGTTTATTTGTCATAAACCCGTGTTTAATTTCTCACGTACAGAGCACCTTCTTTTATAGACTCCCCATACCCTATGAAATACCCAGGAATGACATGGTTAACTCGTGGCTGCGCTGGTATGCTCTTTTTTTTTACTTTGAACTAAAATCACGACAAGTATTTTGAAACGGAGGAAGTACATCTGCTAAAAACAAGAACATATCATTTTAGAAAGTTTTCTTTTTTGGGGGGACTTTTGGAATTTGTGGTGCAGATTTTCAGAAATTTGTGTGTCGGCTTTCGGAATTTGAAACTTTTGAAATTTTGGTTTTCAGAATTCTGAATTCAAGTTTCAACCTTTTGAAATTTGAGCTTTTAGATTTTTGGACTTTTAGAGTTCCAAACTTTCAACTTTTTAGGAAATTAAAATTTCAAAATCTCAAAAAAAGAAGAAAAAGTTGAGACTAAAAAGATAAATAATGCCAACATGGTGACCACCCTATAGTTGTTGTTCTGACGCCAAGAAC